AGCTATAAAATAGCTATAATTTTGTGATTCTGTTTAGGCCAGCAGAGAAGGCTTAGCTGGCCCTGGCGGCCCACCACTGCTATTTTACAACCTTTACTTACAACATCTCTCTCCACTCTGCTCAGTGTAAACAGCCTGCAGTTCAGTCAAAGGTTCACTGAATTCTAGTCATGTGACTGTGAGTCTCAGTAGAGTCAATCGTGGCTTCCCAGTTGCATCGCGGAGCACAGAATTCAATGTCTTTTACAGGATGTGGTTAGTGTAAACAGCTGTTTTTTGCCAACAATTTAAAATGAAAAATCACTATTTTAAGCTGGATTTGGTTGTTTTTCCAGACGGAAGCATGTATTCGTGATTTATACAAGGACTTTTAGAAATTTTAACATCCAACAATAATTAATGATTTCACAGTTTCTGTTGATGATAAATGCTGTATTTTTTGCAATTTAAATTATTATTTTTTTAAAGAATACATGCCTTTCAAACACACCGGCGGGTTGTGGGGCTCAGACCTTCACGGCCAATAATGCAATAGACACCAAATATGCTTTTCTATTTCCTCTATGTATAATCATCACATCATATATATTCCCTAATCAAACCATTATATATATTCACAGTGGGGGGAGGGGACAGAAAATGAAGATTGGAAGGTTTCAATTTAAGAAACCTATGTGTGTGTGTGTGTGTGTGTGTGTGTGTGTGTGTGTGTGTGTGTGTGTGTGTGTGTGTGCGCGTGTGTTATAAATAAATTATAGTGATTCACAATTTCTTTGTGGAGCTGTGTGAACTGTTTTCAATGTGTCAGTCTCCAACACGCCTGTTGACGTGCAGAAGAAACTGTGTAGAATAATTAATTGAAGCAACACCATTGATGTTCACATCAAAACGGAGGTTTCTGTGGTTATTTTTTACAACAGTCTGATGCTGGTTGCGCTGAAACCTTGTGGTTTTACAGTGACATCATAACTCCAGTTAGAGAATACAGATGGAGCAGATATCTGCTTCCTTCAGATGGCTGTAAAGACAGTCAAACATGTACAGGAAAAATCAGCACTATCATGGTGAACATTACCTAATTAATTCATGCTTCTCTTAATGCAGCATGATTACAACAGCATGTGCCATCTCAAGAATCCATTTCATCAGATTTGATCGCCAAAAGAAATATTAGGAACTATTTATCTGTTGTTAGTATTTACTTTTCATTTTACTAACATTATTATTCTAGCTGTTTGCTTTATTTGGATTAGATTTTTGAAAGTAATTTATTTTGCTAGTTATTTGTTTGGTTTAATTACTTGTTAAGTTCATACGTAGTTTGTGCATGATTAGTATTCAGTCTAGTTTTGTTTGTGAATTGGGTAAAATTAAAAAAATGAATATATCTTGAAATACAACAAATCTTATTTTCTTGCTTTGGAAGACAAAAGTATGCCAAAGTTGCTCAAAGTAAACACATTATACCCTGAGTTGGAAAAGCCCAGTAGTTTGCATTGCTGATTGCAGTCTGTGTTGGGTGAATGGATGATTAATAAGGGATTATATTTAGAAAGTTGACACCTCAGACTTGGACACAGGAGACAGGGTAGCTATAGTTCACAAGTTGGATGCCTCAGAGGAGCTTCTGACCCATTTATACTGACCTTATTTAGCTGGAAGGTGTTAAAACAATATTTGGGCTCTAATAAGATAAGTGTGGGTGTGTGTGTGTGTTGGCAGCATTCTCCAACAAGGGTCTGTTGTTAGTGCTGCAATAACAGGTCAGAGCTGGTTGAGTGCTGACCCAGCTAACGATCATTTTCTGCAACTTTGAACTTAATTACTTGATGAGGAGCAGATGTTGTCGGCGTAAGGTTCAAAGTCTCTCCCAAAAAATCAGGCCACACTCTAGACGCCAGGGTTAGCTTCCCCAAAACACTGATATGTTGATATGAAGTTTCATGGGTTTCTTAGCAAAAGGCAAGTGACATAAACTCATGCAAATGATATGTATACAATTGCATAAAGTTTCGTAAATATACAAAAATATCAAGACATGTATTTATTCATATGTAAATGTTTTGAAAACAGTTGATTTTAGTGATCTAACTCTCTATTAATAACCAGCAGGACTCGCTTCTATTTACCTTGGAAAGCAGCCACTTAATAGAGTGCCTCAGGGATGACATATTGTCGTAGGCCAACCCGGAAGTTAGCATCGCACTGGTTCCATCGACAAAAAGCCAATGGGATATTTCGTTTTTGGATTATTGCAGAGAATATGCTCTGTGGAAAATTCAAATTTGTAATACTTACACGTTTTGTTCATCAAGATAATCTTCACGAATGAACACCACTTTTATGATTTCTGAAGCGTGAATGCAGTCGTTAGAAGTAAAAAGCTAACGTTAGACTATAAAACGAACTACAACCACGTTGGCACGAAGTCGAGTATACAAAACGGGCTGTGAAGGAGGACGAGTCGGCGTGAAGACGTTTTGTTAGCAACCGCCTTTTTTAAGATACCTAAAATTCACAGTTGGAAATTTACTGACGTATTTTCTGTTGCACAACAAAACATTAAAATCTCTTCAGCTTGTGTTGAACAGAGACCTTATTTCTGGCATCTAACCAAAAACCCATTCAAATAACCCATGGACACCCACAGCAAACTGATGTTTGTATGGCAAGTCTCTGAGCTTCACGAGCAAAATATTGGTCGTTGCGCCCAGAGGTTAAATGATCATCAGACAGCTCGTCGATGGGTTCTGAGAAAGTGGCATGTTTTGTAACATTTGGTATGATTTCTGCTATTTTTTTGATTTGTGCTATTTTTTTTATTTTTAGTCTCTATTGAACGGTAACACTCTGAAGTTTCTTCACAAACAGTCAGAATCACTGTATGTGCTACTGGCATTGAGCTATGGAGTTTACCACACACTGAAAAAGAAGGATTTTATTTCCGCCTGGATTTGTTTTGGCCAACAGATGGCAGCAGTTATCTATGGCTGGGACTTATGACCCGGAAAACACACTCCTACGACAGGATGGAGTCATGGTACCTGGTAGAAGTTAGAATTTGATAACAATACGACAGAAAATTAATATTTTACACGTGGTTTACTAAGAGTGCGGCCGCGTAAAAACACATTTGGAGGCTTGTGTCACCACGTCAAAATGCATATACTACGATAAACTCCGTGTCTGAAATTTGAACTATAGTTTATTTATGTCAATGTATGGTTAATGGTTATAACATATTTAACCATCGTCAACTTTCACAGATTCTTGAAAATTCTCATGAACCAGACTTTGCTCTTGATAATCGGTCTCAGGTACCTGACTCACGGTTTAAAATTTCAGTTTTGACAACTTTCCCAGGATTCAATCTGATAAATCTGCATATCCTTGTCATCGTAATTTCATTGGCTATATGGAGCCTGAGTTTGTACAGGATCTGTTTCCAATTGGCTCGAACTTTACCCAAAGAAGAGAGGCGGGCATTGTCTTTCAAAGCGGACTCTCGTTGGCTGTTCCAGAATGTGACCGGGCTATAGAAGCTCCTATTGGGTCAAATGAGGTGTCAATCTAACCGGCGGAATGCAGCCTCCATTTTGCGATGAAAATCTCGGCTCTGTTGACATGAAAAGTGAAATAATCACCGAATTATGATCGCGAGTTATCATATCTGCTGGCTAATTTGAAATGATGCAACAGCCCCCCGTGGGTCTTTATGGACGTACTAATGTGTTTTAGACTAAATCTTTTACTGGATTAGACCGAGTGGACCCTTAGCGATCAAACAAGACCGTTTTTGCTGGACTAGCAAGCACAAGGGGGACGTTATGAGTCACGGCGATATTTTATCAGCTATTTTTGGAGTGCTTGTTTGACAGAGACGTTAACTGTACCTGCTGTTGTTATTGTATCTTGAAATGGTTTGCATAAATCGAATTACAAGAACCGTAGCTTTCTAATGAGATATCACATTAATACTCATCGTTACAGAGCAGTTGTGTACATAACACAAATCTACACTTAACAGATGTGAGATGAGGTTTTTATATAACTCTACCTTTGCAGGCCTGCAACTCTCTAACAGTCCATGAAGTACTCAAGTACTGTATAGAATTATGTTATTTACTGACGGTGAGCTGTGAAAATATAACACATTTTCTCTTATTACTTGCTGTCTTAATACGTAGTTTCTGAAAATGTGGTTATGAAATACTATACCATAAACTATCAATTGAATATGGAATCTCACATGTTTATGTATTGTCATTCCATAAACTGATCATGTTCATGAGCAAAGTAACTGTAGCCCTGTTTGCCCATAGACCGGAAAACCAGAGTTTCTATCCCAAACTGAGACACACCAGACTGACTTCTTCACTCTATAACACCGGCTAACCATGAGGAATTCCCTTGCAGGAGGCTCCAACTTTCTTACTGAGTTACTCAGTGTACCAACTCTGTAGATTTATCAAAGTGAATAATGTAATATAGACAGTGTCACTATATCTCTGTCAAACCAACCCCAGTCTTATGTCAGCGTGGATCTGGGTCACTACCCCCAAGTGTTTCCTACTGCTTTCATTAAACATTAACTGTGTCTAAGTATATTTCAATGTTTCTGCCTCCTGAAACCACAGATTAGTTCCACTTGAAGGGGAAATGAGACACAAGTCCATTGATATATCTACCTCCCCCTGCTGTTATTACAGGGTTTTGTGCTCTTTTTGGCTGTTTGACCAGATTCTGGCCAAACTCAAAGGGCATGGGATTTATGTTGGTATGGATACTGCTGGTCTAACAGACGTACACATGTATCCATCTGTAATAATGCTGCTACATTCTAGTCAGTTGCTCACTATTAACAACCCACCTTGGTACCGACAGTAACAAATGGAAAGCTTTACTAAGACATGCAGCGTCAGTGTTGCAAAGGAGGAGAGGAAGAGAGATAGCCACATAGTGATAGAATTTAAGGAAATGGATAAAAGTTACTTTCTCACCGAGGTCACGTATTGTACGTCCCGGCACAGTTTAGTCTCCCGTGGAAAGTCAGCAAGATCCAGGAAGTTGTCCACCACCACTTGGCCAATCAAGTCATGGCGAGAGAACCTGTCAAAGTCGTAGACACTGAAATGCAGCTTGCGGCTCGACAGCTCGGCGTACGCCACAGGAAAGAGAAACACCTCATCGAACACCGGGTTGAGTGTCTTGCGGTGCACCTTGGTCTGGTGTTTGGTTTTGCGGTCGGGCAGCAGGTAGATCTTGACGTAAGGATCGGAAGTCCCTGAGAAGTCCTTGGCGGGAAGGTCCTGGGCCTTGTGGATCTTCACGATCAGCTGCTCCAGGTCAAAGTCAAACTTCAGGACGAAGAGGAGACGCCCACAGCCGTCGGGGTGACGGCCATCTTCTGCGTCCACGGATCGCTGCTTGTAGAGTTCTGGTTTGATTCGGCCCAAACCAGATAGTGACTCTTGGCGCTGGAACTGAGCAGGGTTGAAGTCCGGATTAGACAAGTTCATCTGACGTCGGATGGAGTTGTGCCTGAAACAAAGTGTAAAAGTGGACAAATAAAAACATTCAAACAATTTAGTTTGACTCTTCTTTGTTAAGTCTTTGTTGCTGTGAGGCCACTGCTGGTGCCACTTTGTGTCCTTAAGCCTGATGTATTGTATGCTGTCAACTTTGTAAAAAGGTATATCTGAAATCAAAGGTCTAGGTGTCTGTGTGTGTCCATCTGTGTTTAATCTGCCAAAGCCAAAAGATGGACAGTAGCTTTGGGGTTTTGAGGTGTACTGACCGTACAGACGAAGTAGGCTCAGTTATCTGTCTCTGGACCCTGTCCCTGGCCAGAGTGTGGAACTGGTTTTTCTCCACCTTGGTCTGGGTCTCCAGTGGGATGTCAGGAGACGTGTGGCTTATCTTTAGGCCTGACTCTGGGACAGCCACAGCCGAGAGGGGTCCTGAAGGCTCCTTCACACAGCCATCCTCGCTGTACTCCCTTTCGTCCCCGTCCACCTGTATGGCATACGTCAACAGCAGCTTGTGTAATAGTTACAGCAATGTAAATATGCTATAGTAGCAACAGCCTACAGTTAAGCCTAGCACGCCATTTGGGTATTGATCGCTCCTTTAGGACTGGCCATCCACTGGACTGAACCAGTGGAGCTGTGGTAATGGCTTACATTGTGGTAATGGCTACATGTAGGTATGTGCTATGAACCTACTGCACTATGGCTACATGTAAACAGAAAGAAACTGTCGTTTGCTCCCTTCTTATATCAATTTATTTGTATTAGATGGAGGCGGCATCAGGAGGGAGCTGATGTTGAATTAGTGTGTATCGCATGGATGGGAAGGTGCCCATTTGGAGGGAAAATACAAAAATGTTTTTCTTTTAAAACATAAGGATTATAACTTCAAGCATCGTGGCCACGCAAAATGGCAACCTCTCGAGCTGAAGAAATATAGCCAACATGGAGGTGCCTAAAACTGTAGCTTCTCAAAATGCTGGAGCCACCCACTCTGAGCTTAACAACTGCTCCTCAGAAACCTATGGGTGACTATGCAGATGGAGACTTTGTCCATATTTCATATCTACACTCTGTTTACACAAAGAAAATATAAATGAGTCATATGACAAAATAAATGTTGCTTGACATATCAATGCTTTTCTCTTTTGAATGTGAACATCACCTTCCTTACCTCTGTGAGGACGGGCTGTTGGTCCCCTCCCAGAAAGTGCGCCCCCTTGAGGACATCTGGGAGGAAGCGGCCACTCAGGGGCACCCAGCATAACTTCCATGAGACAAAGAGAGAGACGCTGAACAAAGCCAGACCACAGGTGGTCACCAGCAGGGACAACAGGCTCACCGATACATCTAGAGATGGAAGAGAGAGGGGGGGACTCAATGAACAGTGAACACAGCTTTGCCAGTGAAAAGCGCTGGCACAGACAAACCTGGCTCCCCAGGGAGGACAGACTGTTTATTCAGAATGCTAAATGAGAAGGAAAGACTGCAACTTGTTTGTGATTTAATTAATTTCATGCATGAGACCCAGTATGTTGTATACACAATATATACTGTATATGATCGAATCCAAACCATTAAAACCTGAAACAATTCTCAACACGTGTCTCATCCTGTCTGCTTTATCAATTGCTTTCTACTCTACTACTCTAAAACGTATTATTTTCATTACTTTTTATAAAAAGGGCTACAAAGCCTTTTTGTTTCACCTTATTCATTCAACCATACATCGTGGTAGTGTTCCGCTGCCGTCATTTTAGCTAGAAGCAGTTAGGATTTTTTTTACATTGATCAAACATATGTTGTCTTAAAGCTACCACCAGGAACTGTCATTTATTGTTGATGTCGGAAGTCCCTGTGGAAAAAAGAGGTAGTTTTTTCCGAGCACCAGAGTCCCTTTAGAAAGCCTCTCATTTTACTGCAGCAGGGTCCGACAGTCTGCTCCGCAAAGTCATGGTTCTGGTTCTCCCTTGTCTCTCTTACCCCCAGTGGGCCCGGCAATATGGTCTGGGCCTCCAACAGCGTGGTGTCTGTGTTGGCTCCCAGAGAGAACAAAAAACCAACCTTTTCACTGAAGGCTCTTTACTTGTATTATATAGAGGCATCAATATTACTTGATACTGTTTTGTAACCTCATTCTCAATCCGGAAGAGAGAAAGAGTTACACAGAGAGAGAGATGACTGCTCTCTGTATCTTTCTCCACCGCCGCTTTCTTCTTCAGCTCTCTTTTTCTTTGTTGCTAGTCGTTCTGAATCAGACTCAACACTGAGAAAGAATGTCTGAAGTTCTTTTTAACCCGTCGGACTGAGAGTCCTTGTTTGGTACAATGCCTTGCAGTTTCCATGATATACTGACAATATCAGTGATACTCTGAGCTTCACATTATGAACAAATATGCCCTGCTTTAACAACTGTTCGATGTCATGTTCAAATTGCATTGCAAATCTATTCAACAGTCTTTTCCTTTTGACTTCCCCACTAAAAGAGCTGAGAGCAACTCTTAATGGGACAGCGGAGAGTGCTCAGGCACAATGTGAGATATGTGTATGAGCTCATTAATGGATGCAATTAGAGTCCAGTCCTTGTGTTAGAAAGAAAAACATTTTCCAGTCTTTATTATAAAACTACACAAGGCCCAGATTCACTTAGCAACTAATTGAAGAAGAAAAACATGCATCCACATTTCAACTATTTCTTCTGTGTATTTTCTCTTAACTATCACTGTTTTTCCAAACAACTGTACTCATTTATAGATGCATTAAGCATCACTGTGCTGAACTGAGAGAAGCATATTTTCTCCTGAATGGTGATTACAGTTGTAAATTGAAACAAAACAAAAACACTACAAGCCATGTCTAGTAAAACATAATGATTCGGCTTTAAATAAGCACTTTAGTCACGTTATTTAAATTCTGGATTATTGTAGTTAATATAAGTCAACATTGAGTTTTGGTGTAAAATGGGACAAGAACAGCGGCCTCCTTGTGGTGTTTTTGTCTTAGAGCTTTAACCATTTCTCTGTGTTTTTTCAATTCAAAAAACTTAATTGCAACATATTGGTTGCCTAAAAAAGTGTCAGCGTTTGGTTGAATTTAGCTGCAACCTCTCGTGTCACGTCTGGTTGCAAAAAAACAAGATGGCCACAGCCAAAAACCAAGATGGCAACGGCCCATATGCCGAACCCAATCTTTCAAAACCGTAGTCCACAAACCAATGGGTGACGTCGCGGTGACCATGTCCAATTCTTATATACAGTCTATGGATGGGAGTCAATTTCACTATTCATCAGGTGAATGATAAGGGCCAGGAAAAAATGTCAATGGGAGCAGATGGGAGGGGAATTATGATTACAATAGATCTTTTTTTTTGTTTTTATGATACACAACACAGAAAAGAGGATTGAACGGGAGTCATTCTTCTGGGATTTGAAGGTTTTGCGGAATTTAGTGGAGCGAAAATCTACTCCTGTGTCACCCTCTAGTCTGAATACTTTATGAAGACACAGTAAGGCAGTAATATTGCAGCTGCCTTCTCACAATCTATGCTATACAAGCAGTGTAAACATATGCCGCAGACATGCCACCTTCATCAAGACAAGGCATAGAACATGTAATTAAATGGCACATGATGTGGAGATTACACCGTTGATTGTTATCCATCGCAACAATTACCGTTGGCCTCTCCAGCAAAGTAGGTTGCTGCGAAACATGGACACAGCAGGGGGGCTCGGGATTCTATTTTATGTCCATTTAATTGCCGATTGCATTCATGTTGCACATTGGGCCACAGTGATGTCATTGCACAGCATCCATCAGATGTCAAAAGCGAGCGACCTGCTGTGACATCACCGATTAGGGCACAACTAACATGACTGAACATGTCAGCCCATAGACAGCGGTGCAACGTTGCCACTCTGTGATTCAGTGTTGATTTACCCTCTCAGTTTTCTGAAGAAAAGCTCGTCCTACGCCTGAAAATGCAAATATGATAGTTGTCTCTCTCTCTCTCAATGTTTCCAAAGATCAAAGCTCAAGAAAAGAGCTTGAACAACAGCACAATTTCCTGGTCTGGGGAGTGGCTCATTAATACGAGGGCTGACACCTTGGTTGGTGTGAATGCTCAGCTTTATATATACTGTATATATATATATATATATATATACAGTATATATATATATATATATATGGTTCCCTGAGCATTTAATATGACTGAACACTACACTACACTGAACACTGTTGTTTTATTTTTGATACTAATACATTTTGTTAGATTTGAAAAGCTAATCTTGAGAAACCAACAAGAGTATGCTGAATTTTAAAGAATTAACCAACCAACCCAGACCCGTCTTGCTAACTCCAGAAGCGCTAGCTCAATAAGTCGCTAGCGGGAAAGGCGCCAAGGTGGCAACCTCCAGTTCTGCCGAGTGAAGCCAATGCGGAAGTGTCTTAAAACTTGCATTTTCTCTACTGACCAGCAGGGGGCAACTCCTGGTTGCAAAAATAAGTCATATTTTATGGAAGTCTAAGAGAAAATGACTCTACTTCTCACTTGATTCATTGCCTCAGTAAATATCATAAACATGCGTTTATGGTCTCAATCACTATAGTTTCAAGTTTTCTTCAATACACCATGATGTTCATTTTGTAAATTATGGTCCAATTTTGAGCAAAACAGACCATAAAGTGGAGTATGCTTTAGAGCAGGCTCACTGTGATTGACAGGTCGCTGCCGCTACCAGAGACGTATACGGCGTTTCTACGTCACTCTTCTGTGTTCCAAATATTGTAACTTCCGTTCATTGGCTGCAAAAAAACAACAACATGGCGACGGCCGGAATCCAAGATGGTGACGGCGAAATCGCCGAACTCATGGCAGTCCACAAACCAACGGGTGACGTCACGATGACCACGTCTACTTCTTATATACAGTAAATGGCAGCAACACCGACAGTCCGTCCCTCCCTCCAAAGCCACTCCCCCAAAAATGTTCATTATGAAACAACGGTTATTGTTAGCGCTCACAGCTGTTAAGCAAGCAGCTCATGAGAGACTCAAGTGACGCTCAATGAGTGTGCTGACAGTGTGCACACAGGTAGATAGGCAGGTAGGTAGACAAATGAAACGATACAACAAATACCTGAGTTTTCTCTTTTGTCAGACCATTTGATTTTTCTGATTGCTCTCAATGTGGGTGTCAAGAGAATTACAACAAATATAACAAGGATGTTTTTAAAGAAGATCACCAACCACAGCTGTAATATCCCAATAAAATGGGCAAAAACCTAAAGGAATCTATGTTTGCAAAGCACTGCCATCAGAGCACAGTAGGCGCTAAGATCTGTGAAATGAGGCGGGCAGGAACACAGCCAGCCCTCCTGTGTGTGCAGCTATATACACCGGGCACCAGCTGGGGGGAATTGAAAGCAGCGGAGAGATGATATACAGCGTGTGTTCCCTGAGTGCAGGGCTCGTATTCTAAGCTGACTCGGCTAGAGAGCGTGCAGCTTGTCCCGCCGTGCCCTGGCTTTGATGTGCCTAATAGGTGATGCAAAAATCAGAATTATTTCACACCCGGAATTCAGGTTTTCTGTACCTAAATGAAATTACAGCCAATGTAAGTAATTTCTCCTCGTATAAACCTTGTTTCCATTCAAGGCTAACCAATCTCCATTCAAGCCACCTTCCTTTCGAAATATTTGAGACCAAAAATAAATCAATATTGAAAACACTGTTGCTCCTTATTTGATAAGCTTTTAGAATACGGCCCGTGGCTTCATTCGATTACCTTTGTAAGAACCTTTTCTAAAGCCGCATGGTGTCCCCGCTTTTCATGTCCTTTTTGCAGGATGCAATCAAGGCACCCGGTGCCTAAACCCTGTACAGCTGGTGGCCGTTAATTGGATTCAGGAGCTTCAATAATCAATAAGCGAAAGGAAGTCAATTATAATTTAAAAAAAAAAAAGGTCAGAGAGGTTTTGATTAGTGTAATTATCTGTGCTGGGGTTGCTTGTGTTTATGTATGAAGGAATAACTGGTGCAAGTATAAAGCATGTAGGCATTAGAGGTAGCTTACATCAAAGTCTAAGTGGTCAATAGGGCAGTAAAATCCCTTGATGAGTTCTCATTTGGTGCTTTCGGAAAAAAGAACATACATGTCCATCATAGCCATGATTCAAAAAAGCGCTCTTTACTTGTACATAGGGCTGGATGCTTTTGAAAAAACATCAAACTGTGATAGTTGTGACCGATACTGCAATTGTAATATGATTTGTTACATTAATGGGAATGATATTTTCTACATCATTACTCTCATTTTCACTGAAAAACATTAAAATGGTGAGCTTTTTGAA